ACAGAAACAGAGGACTGTAGACAGTTATTTTGTGAGACAGAAACAGAGGACTGTAGACAGCTATTTTGTGAGACAGGGGTCCAATGACTCTCAAGTTGGTCCTAGTGGCATTAAAATACAGAGAAGGGAAGTAACCTCAGAGAGGGCTTTGATACCAGAAGTCCTCATGGAGGGGGATTCTCCTTCCAAACACTAACCCCAACTCCCTCTCTCCTCCTCCCTATCTTCCAGATCCCATCACCAATCTTCAATAAAGGTAAGTAAAAATGTTATTTTATATTACTATACATAATTAAAGACTATAGCATTTGTTGTGTGTATGTAAAACTGTAATTAATCGCTATAAAATGTATTTTTTTTTTTTGTGAATATTTTTGGGTTTCTGGAATGGATTAATTGTATTTCCATTATTTCTTATTGGAAATATTGCTTCGAATTTCTGACTTTTCGAATTTAGAACTAGCTCCTGGAACGGATTAAGTTCGAAATTTGAGGTTCCACTGTACACATTTGGGGCGCTAGCGGTAAGAACGTATATATACATTTGGACCGTTTAGGGGTTAACACAGTCAGTGATCTCCCCTAAGACTTAAAAAATCACATTATCCCAAAAGGCTTAACACAACTCATTCTGGTCTTCAGTGTACATATATTACAGTAATATATATAGAACAGTACTACAGTATCTGTTGTGTATGATGCAACATTTAATAGAAGCTTCGAGACAGAATACGTTTTGCCTGGAATTATGGCTTTTTTTTTTAATTTACTTTTTAAAGTCGACGTTTCAGGAACTGGCCCATAATGTTAAAAAGAAGTGTCTGTAAAAAACACTATCATGTTATATAACAAAAAATTATACCCAAATATATATACCATATATACATTTATATGTCTTGCTTTGGAAGTGTTGTAAAGAACTTCCAATACACTTTATACACTATAAAAAAAAACTCATGTATAAATAGCATCCTTGCTGCAAATATAGACAATTGAATCCAAGCGTAATCTGCCAGTTAACATTTCTTTTCCTATATGAAACCAATATTTAGCAACTGAAATACCACTTGAAGAGCTGTTGTAAGTGAACATTTTCCTACTACAAATACAATGGACTTAGAGAAGCAGCAATCTCATTAAGGAATCCTAAGCATTTTTTTCTTTCTTCAGTTAAATGGCTTAACATGATGTGGATACCAGGATTCACAGCAATGGACCTACAGTAGAGTGGATATTACTTGGGACCATGATGAAATAAGACATTTAGAAAATTAATGGTTATTTGAAAAATACATGACAATAACATGAGAGATAATTCAACATGTAGCAATGTTTTTATAAGCATTGCTACATGTTGAACTCATTTGGCAAGTTCTTCATTGTTGTACCAGGTCCAAATAACAGCAGCAATTAGCTTCTCCACAGTGGAATAGTCCTGCTTTGCAATCCTGAGTTTGGTTATTGCCCACAGATTCTCAACTGGGTTGAGGTCAGGAGAGTTTTCAGGCCAATTTAGAATGCTTAGCCCACACTCTTCGAAGAAAGTCAGCATTTTTCTGGAGGTGTGGCATGGAGCAAGATCTTCTGGAAAACATCTTCTCCATTAGGAAAGTCTCTATCCACAATGGGAAGCAAAGGACTTGCCAAGATTGCCTTGTATTTGTCAATGTTCATCATTTCCTTAACAATAACAAGCCATCAAGAGCCTTTAACAGCAAAACTACCCCAAAACATCTTAGGTAGGTATTTTTTTTTCTTGCGCTTGTTGAATGAGTTCATTCTGAAGAGGCTCACCTTTGTTCCATCTTAACATCACTGATCTACACCCATGTACTGTAAAATGCACTTTCATCTGAAAATATAACTTTTCTCCATTCATCTGTCACCTATCTTTTATGATCGAGGGCCTAGTGCACCCATTTTTTCTTCATATCAGCAGCCAATAATTGTTCCTTTACCGGCTTTCTGGCAATTCTGCCAACTTCAAGGAGCCTTTGTCAAACAGTTGAAGAATTAACATTTATGCTGGAACAAAATTTCTGTAGATCTTTGCTGATTTTCTTGGGGTCCTTTACACTATTTCTTCTACATCCTCCTTGACGCAACACTCCACAATCACCAGTGTCATCAACTCTCTTCAGAATTTGACCAACAGTTGACTTTGCTAGGCTCAAATTTTCAGTTATCTGTCTGGGACTCAAATCAGCATGTTTTCTAAAAGTTAGAATACTTATACACTTCTTAGGTGTAGCATCCACAATGAATTTCAGCAGTAATAATGAAATGAAGGGGATAATTTGGCAAAACCACATTCACTCACAAAGTATACTTGCAAGAATAGCTTTACAGAACAACAGCTATTGTAGCACTGATGAGTCACAGGGTAAAACCACAGCTGGATGGTTGCCAGAAGTCAGTAGCAAACTCTTATGAAAAGAAAAGAAACCAAACTACATTAATTAAGCTGGAGACTAAGACACATGAGATAATCACAAAATTTACTCATCCCAATTAATATGCACACTACTGTAAAACATACATGATAAGTAGATACAAATAAGTATGACAAAGTTGATGAAGAAATATAATACACTGCACAATTCACAGCCTGACCATAACACATTAACATTAAAAAATGATTACAATACAAATATTTTTGTGACATTTACTTTAGTCACTGATAAGACAAAATAATAAAACACTTGTAGTATATTCCTTTACAGTGCAGTGGACATGTCTTAAAAAAAACTGTTCCACCTCAGGAGAAAAACATCACAGAGTATTCACAAACAATCCACACTTAGGAGAGGAAGTTTACGACATTATGGCTCATCGTAGAACACTGTCAAGTCTAAACTAAGAGAGAAAAATCAGACAACAGAAAACAAGTCAGGAGAATGAAGAGGGATGGAGAGAGTAGTGGAACTAATGGCAATGGTAGTGGTGGTAATGAAATAGTTGAGGTAGTAGTACTAGCTATAAAATAGTGGTATGTATAATAGTAGCAAATGAATTTGTCATATTAGTTGTATATAATGACAAAAGAATAGATCACATAGCAGCAGGTCTACTTCCCATACTGGGTTAGTAGGCCTCCTGTTATTCACTGTCTGATATGTAATTCAAGGCAATGGATACCAAAGTAACTCAACACTAACACCTACCCCAAAGGAGCAGAGTAGGACTGCAGTAAGTCAAGAAAGTTGTAAGGCAAAACAGGCATAGGAAATATGGAAGACAGGTCAACGGGATACAAGATGGGATACAAGGAGAATAGAAGCATCAGGGAAGAGAGAGGTGAAGGTTTATAAACTAAAAGAGGAGGCAGTTAGGGTAAGATATAAACAGCTATTGGAGGATAGATGGGCTAATGAGAGCATAGGCAATGGGGTCGAAGAGGTATGGGCTAGGTTTAAAAATGTAGTGTTAGAGTGTTCAGCAGAAGTTTGTGGTTACAGGAAAGTGGGTGCAGGAGGGAAGAGGAGCGATTGGTGGAATGATGATGTAAAGAGAGTAGTAAGGGAGAAAAAGTTAGCATATGAGAAGTTTTTACAAAGTAGAAGTGATGCAAGGAGGGAAGAGTATATGGAGAAAAAGAGAGAAGTTAAGAGAGTGGTGAAGCAATGTAAAAAGAGAGCAAATGAGAGAGTGGGTGAGATGTTATCAACAAATTTTGTTGAAAATAAGAAAAAGTTTTGGAGTGAGATTAACAAGTTAAGAAAGCCTAGAGAACAAATGGATTTGTCAGTTAAAAATAGGAGAGGAGAGTTATTAAATGGAGAGTTAGAGGTATTGGGAAGATGGAGGGAATATTTTGAGGAATTGTTAAATGTTGATGAAGATAGGAAGCTGTGATTTCGTGTATAGGGCAAGGAGGAATAACATCTTGTAGGAGTGAGGAAGAGCCAGTTGTGAGTGTGGGGGAAGTTCGTGAGGCAGTAGGTAAAATGAAAGGGGGTAAGGCAGCCGGGATTGATGGGATAAAGATAGAAATGTTAAAAGCAGGTGGGGATATAGTTTTGGAGTGGTTGGTGCAATTATTTAAATAAATGTATGGAAGAGGGTAAGGTACCTAGGGATTGGCAGAGAGCATGCATAGTTCCTTTGTATAAAGGCAAAGGGGATAAAAGAGAGTGCAAAAATTATAGGGGGATAAGTCTGTTGAGTGTACCTGGTAAGGTATATGGTAGAGTTATAATTGAAAGAATTAAGAGTAAGACGGAGAATAGGATAGCAGATGAACAAGGAGGCTTTAGGAAAGGTAGGGGTGTGTGGACCAGGTGTTTACAGTGAAACATATAAGTGAACAGTATTTAGATAAGGCTAAAGAGGTCTTTGTGGCATTTATGGATTTGGAAAAGGCGTATGACAGGGTGGATAGGGGGGCAATGTGGCAGATGTTGCAAGTGTATGGTGTAGGAGGTAGGTTACTGAAAGCAGTGAAGAGTTTTTACGAGGATAGTGAGGCTCAAGTTAGAGTATGTAGGAAAGAGGGAAATTTTTTCCCATAAAGGTTTGGCCTTAGACAAGGATTGTTGTGTCACCGTGGTTGTTTAATATAAATTTATAGATGGGTTGTAAGAGAAGTAAATGCGAGGTCTTGGCAAGAGGCGTGGAGTTAAAAGATAAAGAATCACACACAAAATGGGAGTTGTCACAGCTGCTCTTTGCTGATGACACTGTGCTCTTGGGAGATTCTGAAGAGAAGTTGCAGAGATTGGTGGATGAATTTGGTAGGGTGTGCAAAAGAAGAAAATTAAAGGTGAATACAGGAAGAGTAAGGTTATGAGGATAACAAAAAGATTAGGTGATGAAAGATTGAATATCAGATTGGAGGGAGAGAGTATGGAGGAGGTGAACGTATTCAGATATTTGGGAGTGGACGTGTCAGCGGATGGGTCTATGAAAGATGAGGTGAATCATAGAATTGATGAGGGAAAAAGAGTGAGTGGTGCACTTAGGAGTCTGTGGAGACAAAGAACTTTGTCCTTGGAGGCAAAGAGGGGAATGTATGAGAGTATAGTTTTACCAACGCTCTTATATGGGTGTGAAGCGTGGGTGATGAATGTTGCAGCGAGGAGAAGGCTGGAGGCAGTGGAGATGTCATGTCTGAGGGCAATGTGTGGTGTGAATATAATGCAGAGAATTCGTAGTTTGGAAGTTAGGAGGAGGTGCGGGATTACCAAAACTGTTGTCCAGAGGGCTGAGGAAGGGTTGTTGAGGTGGTTCGGACATGTAGAGAGAATGGAGCGAAACAGAATGACTTGAAGAGTGTATCAGTCTGTAGTGGAAGGAAGGCGGGGTAGGGGTCGGCCTAGGAAGGGTTGGAGGGAGGGGGTAAAGGAGGTTTTGTGTGCGAGGGGCTTGGACTTCCAGCAGGCATTGCGTGAGCGTGTTTGATAGGAGTGAATGGAGACAAATGGTTTTTAATACTTGACGTGCTGTTGGAGTGTGAGCAAAGTAACATTTATGAAGGGATTCAGGGAAACCGGCAGGCCGGACTTGAGTCCTGGAGATGGGAAGTACAGTGCCTGCACTCTGAAGGAGGGGTGTTAATGTTGCAGTTTAAAAACTGTAGTGTAAAGCACCCTTCTGGCAAGACAGTGATGGAGTGAATGATGGTGAAAGTTTTTCTTTTTCGGGCCACCCTGCCTTGGTGGGAATCGGCCAGTGTGATAATAAAAAAAAAAATAGGTCAACGGGAAAGGAGGGGAGGAGGAAAAGGTCAGGTCAAGTCATGAGTGTAATGAAAAATTTAGAGCATTTCACAATATACTGAGACAGGCAGTCATCTACAGAAACAAAGCCAAGACTAAGATTCATGTAAGGACTCAACAAAATGGCAAGCTTTGAAGGTTGGTAGATAGAAGTAGCAGAGAACAAATTAACCCGTAAACGGTCCAAACATATATATACGTTTTTACTGCTAGTGCCCCAAACGTATATATACGTTTTTTTTGTCATACATTCAACATTGCCACGATAAGCCTGAGTCGCCTAGACATGAGAGAATGGGTGTGAGCACTCACTGTGTGCCATATTAAAATAATTGGAGATGCCTGGGTACCATATGCTCTTTTTTCTTATTAAAAAAAAAACGATTTTTTTTCTCTCAAAAAAGTTGGGGCACTACGGGAGAGAACGCATATATACGTTTGGACCGTTTACAGGTTAATAGGGCATGATCTCCAATTAATGAGAACTCCACTACTACTACTACACTCTCTACTATTACTTCTACCACTACTACTATCACTACCACTATTACTACTACTACCACCACCACTACTACTACTACCACCACCACTACTACCACCACCACTACTACTACCACTACTACTACTACTACTACCACCACCACCACTACTACCACCACCACTACTACTACTACTACTACTACTACCACTGCTACTGCTACTACCACCACTACTACTACCACCACCACCACTACTACTACTACCACCACTACTACTACTACCACCACTACTACTACTACTACCACCACCACCACTGGTGCAACAACCTCATTACTTCCACCACTCTTGCTACCATGACTACATGTACTACTACTAGTACTGCTGCTGCTACTAATTCTGTAACTATGATTACTGCTTCCACTGTTGCTACTGATAATTCTAGTATTACCACCACTGCTCTCTTCATCTCCTCCTGACCTCTGTTTTGGTCAGGAGGAGAGACAGACTAAAATGTTGTCATAAGCCTCTCCTAAGTGTGGGATTTTTGTAAATTATTCCAGACACAGTTCTGTGACTTATTCTTCACCGCAGAGTATACAAGAACTTGAAAACATTTAACAATCAGCTTAATGTAAAAAATTTCATACATTAGAAAAAGTAAAGTTTTAAAGTGTTTCCCTTTACATCTGTAGATATAACCTGCCTCAGATAATATTGTGTAAAGGGAATTTTATTCGGTCCTTAATGTTACATGGCATCCCATAAGAATCAACTTACAATAAACTCAAACAAAACCCAAATATGAATTATCATGTGTCTCTTACTAAAACATATGGATGATTGTAAATCAAATATGACAATTTATAAGTGGGTGTGTGCATATGTGCACACGTGTGCACATACACACCCACACATAATACAATTTCAGTCTTTTATCACCTAAGATAGTACCCTGCTTGGTACTATCTTTCAGAATTACATGTAATAAGTTTTGCCAGAATGTCAACAAAATTAAGCAGCAGTTTATGCTTCAGAACAAGTATTGTACACCATAACCCTTTGTGGAATAAATTTCAAAGTTCTGCTCAAGTTATGGTGCTTATCACCACCACCCTTAAAGGGTATACCTTGATGTTTTATGAGAGGCTCTTGATCCAAGGAATTGGATCTACTGCCTACTTTAACCAAAGTTGACTGCCTCTTGATCCTCAGGTGTAGTATAACCTTCAAGGGTTCATGCATCCCCAATGAAGATAATAATAATAATTATAATAACCACTCTTCCTCATTAGTATACACAGGAGCACACTACTCTATGTATACTCCCACTCCCCTAACTAATGTCAATTATGCTGCTACCTAATATAAAACAAAAATATTTTGTTGTAATATTATAGCAAAATGAAACTGTGTTACTCTTGGTATTATCCTCTTGGGTGGGAAATAACTAATGTTTTGAAAAACTAGTAACACAAAGATACATGTTCATGTTCCACATCTATAACACTCGGCATCGTTCCACACTGGACATGCTGAGCTATGCTCTCGGAGTTACACTGTGTATCTCATCACTGTGAATTAAGTCATACAATACTCACTCCATCACTATGAATTAAGTCATACAACAATCAGGAAATTCATATGCTACACAAAACATCAGGAAATCAAAAACTATAAGTTGTGAGAGGAGACCAGCAACTCTTACAGATAAGTATCCCTGCAAAGAAGTGATAAAAATAAGTGTAGTGTCTAGCTAACTGTTAGAATTGCCTCCCTGTATGGTCCCAGACCAATCCTGCTGATAGACTGATGCTAGCAGTACACAATTACATAGACACAAAGATAGTGGTCTCGGTGCAATTTACACATCAGCAATTTTGCCAACTTTGAGTCCTAATTTAAGTCAATTTCTTTCCTCAATTCTTTCAAATTCTTATGTATACTGATAGTATGCCTTCCATTTTATCAAATGAGAGCAAGAAACCACTCATTCAACTATTAGAACTACCCTATAAATTGGTAATTTGGCCAATTTTACCCAAAATTAAACAAAAAAATCCAATTTAGAGTCCAAAATAAACAAAAAGTGCAGGCACTAAAGCAGCATTTTCTCTGTTCATAATAACATCCTGGAAATAAATGGTATAAAATACCGACACAATGGAAACATAAACACATATGCAGTATAATGTGATCCTTTATTGACTACGTTTCGCCCACATAGTGGGCTTTTTCAAGTCGCAAACAGATCTGTTTGCGACTTGAAAAAGCCCACTGTGTGGGCGAAACATAGTCAATAAAGGATCACATTATACTGTATATGTGTTAATAATATCCTCAGGCCTCTCCTATATTATACATGCTCTCCATTTTGAATTCATCATTGCCCTATTTCTTGGATAATAAAACATAACCAGGAATGATTGGTCATGGTTAAAATCATTCTAATATTTGAATCAGTTATAGTAAAAACCTATGAAACAAACCATCCTCAGGAAAATTGTCAAAAATTTAATATTTCAGCTTCTTTGAGCCTGCTCTCAAATTATACTTCCGGTCCTGAAACCAACCAAATTCATATTTATTTTAGAAGTATGTCTTCCATTCTCTCAAATGATACCAAGAAACAGCAAATAAAACCATAAAACCCATCCTAGAAAACACCTCAAAACTGCTATTTTAACCTTTGCAGGGTCCAGAGGCCGAATTTCAAAGTGCGCACCAGTGTCCAAGAATTTTCAAAAAATAATTTTGTTATTTTTTCTTATGAAATGGTAGAGAATATTTTTTTGAAGGTAATAAAACAAAAAGTATGAAATTTGATGGAAAATTGACGAAATTATGCTCTCGCGAATTTTGATGTGTCAGCAATATTTACGCATCGGCGATTTTGCCGACTTTGATTCCCATTTTAGGCCAATTATATTACTCCAGTCGACCAAATTCTTAACTATTTCACTAGTATTACTTCTATTCTATTGATTGAGCACAAGAAATCGCCAAGTCAACTGTTTCAACTACAAAATAAAGTGATCGAAAATTGGTAATTTGGCCAATTTAATGCAAAGATCAAAATATTCTGATTTCAAAATAGGGTCCAGAATAAACAATGCAGACATTCCTGGCACTAAACTAACATTTCCTCTGTTCATTAGTTACATTTTCAGGCTTTGCAAATGAATTCCATTTTGATTTTTTATTCACATAATGAATTTTTATTCAAACCAAAAAATAGAAGATTTACTGTTATGCAATACAGTAATACAGTAATAATTGTAATTGTGTCTTTTTTTCTGTCTCAAAAACCACATGATAACAGGTATATCTTGATACTTTTACCGTCAATTAGGTCACACTACACATGCCTGTACACATTTATGTATACACACTCACCTGAGTTTTCTTTGATACTTCTTAATAGTTCTTGTTCTTATTATTTCCTTTCATATCCATGGGGAAGCAGAATAAGATTTTTTCCTCTGTAAGCAATGCATGTTGTAAAAGTCAACTAAAATACTAGGCGCAATGGGCTAGTAACCCCTTCTTCTCTATAGCTTACTAAAAATTAAAATAAAACCTTTACATTTGGCAGATAATAATAAAGACAATACATGGGAGAAGACTTCTCGGTGGCCAGGTCTATGAAAGACGAGGTGAACCATGGAATTGATGAGAGGGAAAAAGGTGGGTGGTATATCAGAGCATCCACAGAGACAAAGAATCTTATTCACAAAAGCAAAAAGGGAAATAACATACAAATAACCCACACATAGGAGAGGAGGAGATTACAGCAATGTTTCAGTCCAACTTGGACCCTTTACAAAGTCCCACTTTGTAAATGGTCCAAGTTGGACCGAAACATCGTCATAAGCTCCCCTCTCCTATGTGAAGGTTATTTGAGATGTCTTGTCTAAGAGCAATGTGTGGTGTGAAAATTATACAGAGAATTAGTAGACCAGAGATTAGGAGGTGTGGGGGTTACTAAAAGTATTGTCCCAATGGCTGAAGGGGAATTGTTGAGGTGGTTTGGATATTTAGAGATGACAGAGCAAAATAGGATGACTTGGAAGGTAAATAAATCTGTAGGGGAGGGAAGAAGGGGTAGGTGTCATCTAAGGAAAGGTTAAAGGGAGGGAATAAAGGTTTTGTGTACAAGGAACTTGGACATCCAACAGGCATATACAAGTGTGTTAGGAGTGGAGGCAAGTGGTTTTTATGACATCATGCTGTTGGAGTGTGAGCAAGATAATGTTTATGAAAAAATTCAGGGAAACCAGCTAGCCAGACTTTAATTTTGGAGGTTGGGAGCACTGCACCTACACTCTAAAGGAGGGGTGGCAATACTGAAGTTTGGAGGAGCATGTGAGCTGTGATGCGATATGCCTCTGTGGTAAGACAGGGATAGTGATGGTGAAAGTGTTTTTTCTCTTTCAGGTCACACTGACTCAGTGGGAGACAGCTGGTGTGTTAAAAAAAAGTATAACCCGCCTATTATTTTATGTGCAGATGATGCACCTTATGAGTGTGTGGTGGAGAGCAGTGACAAGTGGAAGAATGTGGTAAATGGAGTTTTGATAATCTGAGAAAGAAGAGAATATAACATTTCAAGCACATTAGTCATCTGACCATTTCTTTAAAAGTTACCAACCAATCCCACCCTCACCCCACCCACACACGGACATGTTTCTTCAACCATTTCGGTTTAGTACTTTCTTTGATTATAATATAATAATTCTTCAACTACTTGAAGGTGTACCATTTAGCTGTTATTAATCAAAACAGTTGCAAAACATAAGACTGGTATTCACATTTCAACCTCGTATCAGAGCTTGGGTGATGAGTGTTATCAGCACTAGTTTACATATTTTCCAGAATATAAGACGTGCCTATTTTTTGCCACAAAAGAAAGGTCTTGGAAAATCACCTTGATCCTTATATGCTCAAGGTTAGGGTCAAGGGTAGGCTTTGGTTTATGCTTTAACATGAAGTAGGAGGGTCTAGACCTTGAATATGATTACCGATTTACTGTTAAGATACTTCTGTCATGTACCTTAAATGCTGGAAAATGTGGTACTTCATAGATTACAAGTTATCTTTGCCAACAACACTGATGCACTTCACAAACACATGTACATATACAGAAACTCAGTTAGGTATCTGTGAACACACCTCATGGACAAATTATGTAATTGGAGATGTGATCTGGGAAAATAAATTTTGATATAAATATATTACTGCAATTCATACTCAATAAAAACAGTATTCAATGGTATAGGCACAGAGTTCATACTAAATAAACATGGAAAGACTACATGCTGGTGGCAGTAATAATGCAGGTACAAAGTTTGTACCAAATAAACATGACTACATTAATCCCTTGACAAAATAACATACATAAGATATATTCTCCTTACTCAGTACAGGATTTGACCTGTCTGGAAGGAACCTTTCAATAAAGAAGAGATAACATATATACTCTTTCTTTCAACACATCAGCCGTATACCACCGAGGCAGGGTGGCCCAAAAGGAAAAACAAAAGTTTCTCCTTTTACTTCTTTCAACAAACTGGCCATATCCCACCAAGGCAGGGTGGCCCAAAAAGAAAAACAAAAGTTTCTCTTCTTAAATTTAGTAATTTATACAGGAGAAGAGGTTACTAGCCCCTTGCTCCCGGTATTTTAGCTGCCTCTTACAACACGCATGGCTTACGGAGGAAGAATTCTGTTCCACTTCCCCATGGAGATAAGAGGAAATAAACAAGAATAAGAACTAGAAAGAAAATAGAAGAAAACCCAGAGGGGTGTGTATATATATGCTTGTACATGTATGTGTAGTGTGACCTAAGTGTAAGTAGAAGTAGTAAGACGTACCTGAAATCTTGCATGTTCATGAGACAGAAAAAAGGACACCAGCAATCCTACCATCATGTAAAACAATTACAGGCTTTCGTTTTACACTCACTTGGCAGGATGGTAGTACCTCCCTGGGCGGTTGCTGTCTACCAACCTACTACCTAGGATAACATCTGCCTCGGTGGGAGACGGCCGACTTGTTGAAAAAAAAAAAATATATTTATTTATTTATTTTTAACAAGTCGGCTGTCTCCCAATGTATATTGTATCCACACACAGTGTCTTTACAATACTTAAAAATATAAAATGCAACATACTTAGTACAGTTATAAGGTGTCAAGTACAAATATAATTTCTACATAAAACAATTTTTTTTTCAACAAGCTGGCCATACCCCACTGAGGCAGGGTGACCTAAATAGAAAACTTAAAATTTATCTTTTTAAATTTAACAATGTATACAGGAGAAGTGGTTACACAAATGTATAATGAAAAAATAAAATATGCAAACAAAATAAATGTCATTTAAGCTAAATATAGTACTAAAGAGCTGCTACTATCAAACTTAGATATAATTAACCATAAATCTGCTGACAAAAATAAACTGCTTTAAGTGAATGAGAGGTACAGTGGAATTCCGGTTTTTGCATGCGACAGTTATCAAACGTTTCGGTTTTAGCACTTTTTTGTGTGCAAAATTTTGTTCCAGATATCGGACCTGGATCCAATAATCGGACGTATCATATGCGTCTGCCCACCCAGGGACACTGCCACTATACGTCTCAGTCTGCCTCTGTCACTAGTCGAGTGAGCATTGCTCTGCGCATTCCAAAACATTTCGTAATAATCCCTTGTTTTTGGTGCTTGTTTATTAATTGTAACTGCAAAATAAGCCACCATGGGCCCAAAGAAAGTTCCTAGTGCCAGCCAGACCTTTGGTAAAGGACTGTGATAGAGGGGAGAAAGTGCCTTCTTCAGTGATTCCACGATACGTACGATACTAAAGCAGCAGGAGTCAATAAGGGCTACAGTGCCAGCCAGCGATAAAGCATAGCATTAACAGTGTAGCAAGTAATCCGAGCAATTAAGTGACAGAAAAAGGACACGAAACTAACTCATCCAATGTTGTTGGAGGTATATAGGTCCACTGATAACACTGCCGCCTCTGCTGCCGCCTCCACCACCACCACTAATATGTACGGCATATGCTGTCAGTGGCCCTTATAAATCCAACACCACCACCACCACCACTCCTCACATACATAATGACATATTTTATTCAATCTAGAGTACGTATCATGTTTCTGTGTTATTAATATTGTTTATTATGTCATATTAGATCAATTGTGATAGATAAATAAGCTGCAGAGTTAATATTGTCATATTGGAGGAGTATTTTGTCCTGCCTCCAAACAAACTCTCCACCTTTGCCACCACTAGCCACATACATAATGACATATTCTATTCATTCTAGAGTGTATTTCAGGTTTCTATGTTGTTTATATTGTTTATGTCATATTAGATCAATTGTGATAGATAAATAAGCCATAGAGTTGATATTAGTGTCATATTCTTTAAAAAATGAAATATTTGTGAATATTTTTGTGTCTGGAATGGATTAATTGTATTTACATTATTTCTTATGGGAAACATTGATTCAGATTTCACATGTTTCAGTTTTAGAATGACCTGCTGGAATGGATTAAGTTCGAAAACTGGGGTTCCACTGTAATTTCTCTTTGTTTTTCATCAACCGGCCATGTCCCACCAAGGCAGGGTGACCTAAAAACAAAAAACTTTTTTCTTTTTTTAATTTAGTAATGTATATAGTATAAAGAGGGTGTGGTAGGTAAGTTTGAGGTGCCAGGTGTAAATGATAATGGGAGCCCTTTGATTGAACTTTGTATAGAAAGGGGTTTAGTTATAGGTAATACATATTTTAAGAAAAAGAGGATGAATAAGTACACAAGATATGATGTAGGGCATAATGACAGTAGTTTGTTGGACTATGTATTGGTAGATAAAAGGCTGTTGAGTAGACTTCAGGATGTACATGTTTATATAGGGGCCACAGATATATCAGATCACTTTTAAGTTGTAGCTACAGTGAGAGTAAAAGGTAGATGGGATAAAAGGAGAATAGAAGCATCAAGTAAGAGAGAGGTGAAGGTTTATAAACTAAAAGAGGAGGCAGTTAGGGTAAGATATGAACAACTATTGGAGGACAGGTGGGCTAGTGAGAGTATAGGCAATGGGGTCGAAGATGTATGGGGTAGGTTTAAGAATGTATTGTTAGAGTGTTCAGCAGAAGTTTGTGGTTACAGTAAAGTGGGTGCAGGAGGGAAGAAGGGCAACTGGTGGAATGATGATGTAAAGAGAGTAGTAAGGGACAAAAAGTTAGCATATGAGAGGTTTTTACAAAGTAGAAGTGATGCAAGGAGGGAAGAGTATATAGAGAGAAAAAGAAAGGTTAAGAGAGTGGTGAAGCAATGTAAAAAGGTAAAAAGAGAGCAAATCAGAGAGTGGGTAAGATCTACTTTTCAACAAATTTTGTTGAAAATAGGAAAAAGTTTTGGAGTGAGATTCACAAGTTGAGGAAGCCTAAGGAACAAATGGATTCGTCAGTTAAAAATAGGAGAGGAGAGTTAGAGGTATTGGGAAGATGGAGGGAATTTTTTTTTTTTCCAACAAACCGGCCGTATCCCACCAAGGCAGGGGGGGCCCCAAGAAGAAAAACGCAAGTTTCTCTTTTTAAATTTAGTAATTTATACATGAGAAGGGGTTACTAGCCCCTTGCCCCCAGCATTTTAGTCGCCTCTTACAACACACACATGGCTAACGGACGAAGAATTCTGTTCCACTTCCCCATAGAGATAAGAAGAAATAAACAAGAACAAGAACTAGAAAGGAAATTGCAGAAAACCCAGTGGGGTGTGTATATATATGCTTGTACACGTATGTGTAGTGTGACCTAAGTATAAGTAGAAGTAGCAAGACATACCTGAAATCTTGCATGTTTATGAGGCAGACAAAAGACACCAGTAATCCTACCATCATGCAAAACAATTACAGGCTTTCATTTTACACTCCCTTGGCAGGACGGTAGTACCTCCCCGGGCGGTTGCTGTTTACCAACCTATTACCTAAATGAAGTGAATATTTTGAGGAATTGTTAAATGCTGATGAAGATAGGGAAGCTGTGATTTTGTGTATAGGGCAAGGAGGAATAACATCTTGTACGAGCGAGGAAGAGCCAGTTGTGAGTGTGGGGGAAGTGCATGAGACAGTGGGTAGAAAGAAAGGGGGAAGGCAGCTGGGATTAATGGGATAAAGATAGAAATGTTAAAAGCAGGTGGGGGATATAGTTTTGGAGCGGTTGATGCTATTATTCAATAAATGTATGGAAGAGGGTAAGGTACCTAGGGATTGGCAAAGAGCATGCATAGTTCCTTTGTATAAAGGCAAAGGGGACAAAAGAGCACAAAAATTATAGGGGGACAAGTCTGTTGAGTTCAGGTAGTAGGTTGGTAAACAGCAACTGCCCAGGGAGGTACTACCGTCCTGCCAAGTGGGTGTAAAACGAAAGCCTGTAATTGTTTTACATGATGGTAGGATTGCTGGTGTCCTTTTCTCTGTCTCATAAACATGCAGGATTTCAGGTACGTCTTGCTACTTCTAGTTACACTTAGGTCACACTACACATACATGTACAAACATATATATATATATATACACACCCCTCTGGGTTTTCTGCTATTTTCTTTCTAGTTCTTGTTCTTGTTTATTTCCTCTTATCTCCATGGAGAAGTGGAACAGATTTCTTCCTCCATACGTGTTGTAATAGGCGACTAAAACGCCGGGTGCAAGGGGCTAGTAACCCCCTTCTCTTGTATAAATTACTAAATTTAAAAAGAGAAACTTTCGTTTTTCTTTTTGGGCCACCCTGCCTTGGTGGGATATGGCCAGTTTGTTGAAAAAAAAAATATGACAGGGTGGATAGGGGGGCAATGTGGCAAATGTTGCAGGTGTATGGTGTAGGAGGTAGGTTACTGAAAGCAGTGAAGAGATTTTAAGAGGATAGTGAGGCTCAGGTTAGAGTATGTAGGAAAGAGGGAGATTATTTCCCAGTAAAAGTAGGCCTTAGACAAGGATGTTTGATGTCACCGTGGTTGTTTAATATATTTATAGATGGGGTTGTAAGAGAAGTAAATGCTAGGGCCTTGGCAAGAGGTGTGGAGTTAAAAGATAAAGAATCAAACACAAAGTGCGAGCTGTCACAATTGCTTTTTGCTGATGACACTGTGCTCTTGGAAGAAGTTGCAGAGGTTGGTGGATGAATTTCGTAGGGTATGTAAAAGAAGAAAATTAAAAGTGAATATAGGAAAGAGTAAGGTTATGAGGATAACAAAAAGATTAGGTGACGAAAGATTGTATATCAGATTGGAGGAAGAGAGCATGGAGGAGATGCATGTATTCAGATATTTGAGAGTGGACATGTCAGCAGATGGGTCTATGAAAGATGAGGTGAATCATAGAACTGATGAGGGGAAAAAGGTGAGTGGCACACTTAGGAGTCTGTGGAGACAAAGAACTTTGTCCTTGGAGGCAAAGAGGGGAATGTATGAGAGTATAGTTTTACCAACGCTCTTATATGGGTGTGAAGCATGGGTGATGAATGTTGCAGCGAGGAGAAGGCTGGAGGCAGTGGAGATGTCATGTCTGAGGGCAATGTGTGGTGTGAATATAATGCAGAGAATTTGTAGTTTAGAAGTTAGGAGGAGGTGCGGGATTACCAAAACTGTTGTCCAGAGGGCTGAGGAAGGGTTGTTGAGGTGGTTTGGACATCTAGAGAGAATGGAACAAAACAGAATGACTAGTTTGTTATAAAAATACAAATTCAAGTTATAGACTTCCTCTGCACAACAGAAACTATGACTGAAAGGAGAACAAAAATCCTTGCCTCTGCATTTAAGAACTGTTCCTGCAAGACTTCTCAACACTGTGAGCCACTGTACAAGAATATTCCCTATTTCAAATCCTGCAGAAGTCAGTCATATGTATTTGCAGTATATTCATGGCACTATATTAACCCTTAAACGGTCTAAACAGATTGATGTTCAAATTTGTATTGCTACAAAAGCAGATCTACTTTTTTTACATATTTTCAAATATAACAAAAAAAAAAAAATGTGATAAAAGTTTTTTTTTTACACGTTTTCAAATGTAAAACAAAAAAGAAGATCTATATTATTTTATATACATTCAGATGTTGAAAAAACGTATATATACGTTTGGACCATTTAAGGGTTAATAATTACAGCATACAGAAAATTAAAATAAAAAAAAAATTGCAAGAAAATAGTTCAGGTATCATTAACCCTTTGAGGGTCGACAGGCCCTCTCCAAGACTCGTTCTCAGGGTCGGCCAAATTTAAAAAAAAAATAATTTTTTCTTAGGAAAAGATAGAGAAACTTTTCCCGATCATAATGACACCAAAATTATGAAATTTGATGGAAAACTTACGGAATTATGCTCTCACGAAGTTAGTGGTCTCGGCGATGTTTACGCATCAGCAATTTTGCCCACTTTGAGCCTCATTTTCGGCCAATTCCACTGTACTAGTCGACAAAAAACATGAATATTTTTCTAGAACTCCATTTTTTTATATCGAATGAGTGCAAGAAACCACCCATTTACCAATTTCAACTATCCAGTACAGTGGTCAGAATTTAGAAATTTTGCCAATTTCACACAAATTTCAAAAGATGCCAATTTCCGAATAGGGTCCAGAATAAACAAGAAAGACATTCCTGGCACTAAAATGACATTTCCTCTGTTCATTAGTCATGTCTCAAGGCCCCTCTTACATTCTTTTGCTTTCCACTTTGAATTTTTATTCTCACAAAAAATAGAAGATTTACTGTTATGCAGACTACTGCATTAGTGTAAAAAATGGTATAAATAATATTGGCGCACTTGCAAAAGAATATTAGACCCACCAGTTGATGTGTATTGGACGCTTGGCATGATTTGTTTACTTTTGAACTTTGGTAAAAATCGAACATTTCTGCTACTTTGAGCTCAATTTCAAGGTACTTTTCATTGCAAAAACCAGTCAAAATCATCTCAATTTCTGTAATATGTCTTCCATTCTATAAAATGAGACCAAGAAAACTAGAATACAACAATAAATACCATACAAAAATACAGTGTAAAGTCGCTGTTTTATTCCAAAAAAACGGTCAGTTTTTTTTTTATCATTATGCACTGTGTGCTGCAGGATTTTTTTTTATACTATGCACACTAACCACATAGACCCATTCTTTCATATGTAGGCCTACCAGCTTTCTCCCACTAGATTTGAGGGCGCTAGAATTTAGGCGTACAAGTACGTCAAAAACCCTGGGTCGTAAGCTGTACTAGTACGGCCGAAACCCTCAAAGGGTTAATAAATGGTTTACCTTCCCTAAATATTTGAATGGTGCCAGTCAAGTGGTTCACATAATGAGGATATCCAGGCTAAGGCTAGTTGGGGACCATGAATAGGCAACTGCACTGATCCAAGTGAAACGAAAATATTCAGTGATTTTTTCATAATTAGCCATACACAACTGTGGGAACTTAATTTGAAATATTAGCAAGAGAAATATTAAATCACAATAAAAATATTTACTGTTATAATCAATCCGAAATCCAAAGAAATAAAAATTTTATACTGGCTAAATACAGCCTCTCGTCACTTAACGATAGGGTTCTGTTCCTAAGAGTAGGTCAGTAAGCGAATCAGCAGTTAAGCGAGACTCGTACTATATATACTGGCAGTGGGTTTGTGTCAACCATCTTTAAATATTTTTTTAATGTCACCTTTGCACCATTTATAAAATTTCTAGTATATTTTTAAATGTTTATACAGTAGTATACTGTATATTGTAACAAACAAAATAAAGGAAATCAGCTCTAATATACATTACAAAGGCTTGCACACTGGTTGGAGAGCTGGTTGTAAGTCCGTGAGGTTGGTAAACAAGTACATCACTAAGTGAGGAGAAGCTGTATTAAAATATGTTTGTATGCAACCAAGGATTTGAGTTCTTATGTGGTAAGAAATATCAAATACAGTTACTGTGCTTTATCAGTATAATTTGAATAACAACTGTTTCCTAAAAACTAATATTCTGCTTATTCAAGATTTCAGTTCACTGCATTCTTGATAACATGTTTAATAAGAAAGGGTTACACTTGTTCACATCCTTAGCAGGTATAGCCAATTTCACATTTCTTATATCATGCCCTCTATCTGATAATCAAAAGTACTCTAAACTGACAGCACTGGTTAATTAATCACAGAATTAATATACTGTATTACAGTATATTATTACATTAGCATCAACTAGCAGACAGCAGAGGTATCAATTTTCAAGGTGAGGTCCGTTATGTCTACATACATTCTGCCTCACTTCATGTGGGGTTTACTTTATAAGAATTTGCTATTAATCCCCTATTTCTATTGGCATTTCCATGTGTGTGTGACATACATTTGCATTTATAATCCATGCTATTTGCAAAATATAGTAAAGATTCTTAACATGCAAATTAAAGTGTTGAGCTTAATACAGCTGCCATATCCTTGGAACACAGCAACTTCAAAATGCAAGGGACACTATTAGACGTGCCATGCTAATTAATGGGTGGATAACAAAGATTAGCTATCCCTACATTTGTTATCTCTGACAGAAAAGGTATGTAAAAGAAAGTTAATCAAATTAGAGTGCAATCCAATAATTTAAAGTGCAAAGCTTTGAAAATAATAATGGCTATATCCACCAAGGCAAAAAAAGCAGTATAACTCTTAGCTGGAAAATAGGTCTAGATAAATGAAGCATAAACCTCAGGTGCTACAAGTAACTCCAAACTTCTTATGAGCGTCGTCTTCGAGATCGAAGCAGCAGCAGCAGTTTGATGCCACCATGAAGAACAAGTGGCCAGACAAGTAAGAAAAAAGTGGACCGTGGAGACAGTTCTGGGAATGGCCACCAAGATGCTTCAGTATGCCCATTACTATTAGACATACTGCCATTGCCTCGCTGAAAAGATGTGAACATATTAATCACAAAATAATATCAAAGAAGGGATTCATAAAAAGAACTTAGCTCAATTTCTTATATTTTTCAGTAACAATGCTTATTGTATGTTTTTTTTTTTTTAACATGTCAGCCATTTCCCAGATATGACAGTTTAGATAGTCACTCCAAACTGCCAGTATCCGAAACCCCTCTTTTAACCCTTTCACAGTCCAGAGGCCAAATCTAAGAGTGACAGCCAGGGTCCAAAAATTTTCGAAAAAAAAAAAAAAAGTGCATGAGCGTGTTAGATAGGAGTGAATGGAGCCGAATGGTATTTGGGACCTGAGGAGCTGTTGGAGTGTGAGCAGAGTAATATTTAGTGAAGGGATTCAGGGAAACTGATTATTTTTATACAGCCGGACTTGAGTCCTGGAAAGGGGAAGTACAATGCCTTCACTTTAAAGGAGGGGTTTGGGATATTGGCAGTTTGGAGGGATATGTTGTGTATCTTTATACTTATATGCTTCTAAACTGTTGTGTTCTGGGCACCTCTGCAAAAACAGTGATTATGTGTGAGTGAGGTGAAAGTGCTGAATGATGATGAAAGTATTTTCTTTTTGGGGATTTTCTTTCTTTTTGGGTCAACCTGCTTCGGTGGGAGATGGTCGACTTGTTAAAAAAAATTTTTTATAGCTAATAAAAAAAAAAAAACTACTGATCAGTACTTTCGTAGATATAGAGGTGTGAAGTTGACTCTCAATGACCGGGTAGCGGCAACATCGGGGACTTCCATAAAGTCGCATTTTTTTATTTTACTTTTTTTTTTATTTTCTAATTTTTTTCCAGTAATGTTTGTGGCCGGTGAGACCAATCTAATGTATAATGTATATATGTACAATCGTTGTATTCAACAAAATAACTGCACTAATATTTTCATCATTATACAGTGGACCCCCGCATAACGATGGCATCACATAGCGATTAATCCGCATACCGCTTGCTTTAATCGCAAAAATTTTGCCGCACATACCAATTAAAAACCCGCTCACCGATTTTCGTCCGAGACGCGTCCAATGTGCGCCCTCAGCCAGCCTCACATGTGCCGCCCGTGCCATTGTTTACCAGCCAGCCTCCGCGGTAACATCCAAGTATACAATCGGAATATTTCGTATTATTACAGTGTTTTCGGTGCTGTTTCTGGAAAATAAGGGGACCATGGGCCCCAAGAAAGCTTCTAGTGCCAACCGTACACCAATAAGGGTGAGAATTCCAATAGAAATGAAGAAAGAGATCATTGATAAGTATGAAAGTGGAGTGCGTATCGCCGACCTGGTCAAGTTGTACAAGAAACCCCAATCAACCATCACTACTATTGTGGGCACCAGAAAGGCAATCAAGGAAGCTGTTCTTCCCAAAGGTTAACTGTGTTTTCGAAACAAAGATCGCAAGTGATGGAAGATGTTGAGAGACTCTTATTGGTGTGGATAAATGAAAAACAGCTAGCAGGAGATAGCGTCTCTCAAGCGTCATATGTGAAAAGGCTAGGAAGTTGCATGAGGATTTAATTAAAAAAATGCCTGCAACTAGTGATGATGTGAGTGAATTTAAGGCCAGCAAAGGTTGGTTTGAGAGATTTAAGAAGCGTAGTGGCATCCATAGTGTGATAAGGCATGGTGAGGCTGCCAGTTTCGGACCACAAAGCGGCTGAAAAATGTGCAGGAATTCAAGGAGTACATAGACAGTGAAGGACTGAAACCTGAACAAGTGTTTAATTGTGATGAAACAGGCCTGTTTTGGAAGAAAATGCCAAGCAGGACCTACATTACTCAGGAGGAAAAGGCACTCCCAGGACATAAGCCTATGAAAGACAGGCTTACTTTGTTGATGTGTGCCAATGCTAGTGGTGATTGCAAAGTTAAGCCTTTATTAGTGTATCACTCTGAAACTCCCAGAGCGTTTCAGGCAAAAGAATGTCCTCAAGGATAATTTGTGTGTGCTGTGGAGGGCAAACAGTAAGGCATGGGTCACTAGGGACTTTTTCTATAACTGGTTACACCATGCATTTGCCCCCAATGTGAAAGATTACCTAACTGAAAAGAAATTAGAACTTAAGTGCCTCCTGGTGTTAGACAATGCCCTGGTCATCCTACAGACGTGGCAGAGCGACTTTATGGGGACATGAGCTTCATTAAGGTGAAGTTTTTGCCTCCTAATACCACTCCTCTCCTGCAGCCCTGGACCAGCAGGTTATTGCAAACTTCAAAAAACTGTACACAAAAGCTCTGTTTGAAGGTGCTTTGTAGTGACCTCAGAAACTCAACTGACTCTAAGAGAGTTTTGGAGAGAGCACTTTAATATCCTCAATTGTGTAAACCTTATAGGTAAGGCTTGGGAGGGAGTGACTAAGAAGACCTTGAACTCTGCTTGGAAGAAACTGTGGCCAGAATGTGTAGACAAAAGGGATTTTGAAGGGTTTGAGGCTAACCCTGAGAGGATTATGCCACTTGAGGAATCCATTGTGGCATTGGGAAAGTCCTTGGGGTTGGAGGTTAGTGGGGAGGATGTGGAAGAGTTGGTGGAGGAGGACAATGAAGAACTAACCACTGATGAGCTGATAGATCAACTTCAAGAGCAAGAGGCCAGACCTGAGGAAACTGGTTCAGAGGAGGGGAGAGAGAAAATTGAAGAAGTTGCCTACTACAAAGATTAAAGAAATCTGTGCTAAGTGGCTTGAAGTGCAAACCTTCATGGATGAAAATCACCCTCACACAGCTATTGCAAGCCGTGTTGGCAACCTGTACACTGACAATGTTGTGAAACACTTTAGGGAAGTCATAAAGGAACGAGAGGTACAGGCCACTATGGACAGATATGTTGTGCGAAAGAAGTCCAGTGACTCTGAAGCTGGTCCTAGTGGCATTAAAAGAAGAAGGGAAGTAACCCCAGAAAAGGACTTGACACCTCAAGTCTTAATGGAAGGGGATTCCCCTTCTAAACACTAACACTCTCTCTCCCCTCCTCCCATCCCATCAATCATCACCAGATCTTCAATAAAAGTAAGTGTCATGTAAGTGTGCATGCCTTTTTCAGTTTCTGTGTATTAAAATTAACATTTCATGTGGTAAAAATTTATTTTTTTCATACTTTTGGGTGTCTTGCACGGATTAATTTTATTTCCATTATTTCTTATGGGGAAAATTCATTCACATACCGATTATTTCGCATAACAATTACCCCTCTTGCACGGATTAAAATCGTTATGCGGGGGTCCACTGTACTGTTTACAATAATTGTTTACAACAATAAACATGCAAAAATGTTGTATATTAGTAGAGTGGAACCTCTACTTGCGAGCGTGTCCACGTGCGAGTTTTTCCAAATACGAGCAGTCGATGGGTAAATTTTTTGCTTCCATATGCGAGCAAAATTTCCACAAGCGAGCAGACCTCAAGGCAGGTTCCTTGACACTGGTGAGGGGCTCTTGCTCTTGATCTCGGGAAATGTATCTCATTTGTTTGTTGGACTATCTTATTGAAACTTGGGCAATGTATGATGGAAAGATGCTTCTTAATGTACACCAAAATTGAAAGAAATCTAAGCATAAATAATGGAGTTCATTTCTCAGCAATTAGCCACCCGTTAGTGGTAATTTAGAATGGTTATTATGGGTGTATTCTTGTTTTTTTGGTCTCATTTGATAGAATGGAAGATATATTACAGAAACAGATATGATTTTGATTGCTTTCATGACAAAAAGTGCCTTGAAATAGAGCTCAACCTAAGAGAAATGGTCCATTGCTGGGCTGTTTCAGTGTAAACAAATGACGTCACAGTAAATCTTACATTTTTTGTGAATAAAAATTACAAATTATTTATATAATAATAATAATGATAATAATAATAATAATAATAATATAATAATAATAATAATAATAATAATAATAATGAAAGAAATCTACGCATAAATAATGGAGTTCACTTTTCAGCAATTAGCCACCCCTTAGCGGTAATTTCGAATGGTTTTTATGGTTGTACAGTGGACCCTCGACCAACGATAATAATCCGTTCCTGAGAGCTCATCGTTAATCGAAAATTATCGTTAGCCGAGTTAATTTTCCCCATAAGAAATAATGGAAATCAAATTAATCCGTGCAAGACACCCAAAAGTAATGAAAAAAAAAATTTACCACATGAAATATTAATTTTAATACACACAAACTGAAGAAGACATGTACAATTACATGACACTTACCTTTATTGAAGATCTGGTGATGATTGATGAGATGGGAGAAGGGGAGACTGTGGATGGTGTTAGTGTTCAGAAGGGGAATCCCCTTCCATTAGGACTTGAGGTATCAAGTCCTTTTCCGGGGTTACTTTCCTTCTTCTTTTAATGCCACTAGAACCAGCTTGAGAGTCACTAGACCTCTGTCGCACAACATATCTGTCCATAGAGGCCTGTACCTCCCATTCCTCTATGACATTCCTAAAGTGTTTCACAACATTGTCAGTGTCACAATTAAATACTTGTTCAGGCTTCAATTCTTCACTGTCTAAGTACTCCTTGAATTTATGCACATATTGGTAGGGTGTGCAAAAGAAGAAAATTAAAGGTGAATACAGGAAAGAGTAAGGTTATGAGGATAACAAAAAGATTAGGTGATGAAAGATTGAATATCAGATTGGAGGGAGAGAGTATGGAGGAGGTGAACGTATTCAGATATTTGGGAGTGGACGTGTCAGCAGATGGGTCTATGAAAGATGAGGTGAATCATAGAATTGATGAGGGGAAAAGGGTGAGTGGTGCACTTAGGAGTCTGTGGAGACAAAGAACTTTGTCCTTGGAGGCAAAGAGGGGAATGTATGAGAGTATAGTTTTACCAACGCTCTTATATGGGTGTGAAGCATGGGTGATGAATGTTGCAGCGAGGAGAAGGCTGGAGGCAGTGGAGATGTCATGTCTGAGGGCAATGTGTGGTGTGAATATAATGCAGAGAATTCGTAGTTTGGAAGTTAGGAGG